GAAGTACCTACATCTTTCCACATATGCTCAGAATGAGCTCTCTAAACATTATTAGATACAGAATGTGCCAGGTACAAAACCTGTTACAAAAGGCAAAATGGTCAGGCACCTGGGTGACTCAGTCAGTTAAGTGTCTGCCTTCTGCTCCGGTCATGATCCCAGGGCCCTGGGATGGAGCCCTGCATCCAGGCCCGCATCAGGCTCCCTACTCAGCAGAGTGTGCTTCTCCCTCTCCCTCTGCCCCTCCCCCTGCTTGTGCTCTCTCTCAAATAAATAAATAAAATCTTTTTTTTTTTAAAGGGCAGAATAGGCTCTGTTTGGGGAAGGGATGTGACATGATCTTTAAAAACATACATATTTGTTTGTACTCATTTATAACAAGCACTAGGAACCACATCTTCATCTTCTATGACAAGCCATAGACAGGATAAAGGGCTTCTAGCACTTGAAGAGCAGTGACTTCCCTGGAATTGGATATCGCATGCTAAGGTGCCTGGAGGCCTGTAGTGCTGCGGGACTCAGTGCCTGGATTTATCAGAAGCTAAAACCAAAATAGTCACTAGGTTAGTTGGAAAGCACCCGAATTGAGCTTTATAGTTGAGTTTAGTTGAGCTTTAGTTGAGCTTTGAGTTACTTTTTAAAGAAAAGATAACTGATTTCATTGAGTCAGTTCAGGTCACAAAAGACTCACTTCTACTAGCAAAAGTTGCTTTGCTTTCTGACTCCACATGAAATAGAGAAGACCAGCTGCTTGTGGCCATTTCAAAACAACTCCCTCCTCAGAGAGAAGTCATGGCTGCCAGAGACCGAGGAAGAGCGCTCACATCAGGACCTGTGGAATTTCTGATCACACCATTGCCACCCCGCTTGTGCACTCTTTGTTTCTTTCTCACACAGTCACTCCCCACCCTGCTCAGCCTGCTCAGCCCTCCTTCAGCCACAGGCTATTTGTTATATAGTTGCTGCCAACTTGGCTGGTGAGGAGCCAGGCCTAGAGGAAACAGAGGGTCCTGGCGAGAACATGGACTGAAGGCCCCAACAGGGTCAACTCCTGACTCCTCCCACAATACAACTGTGCCTCCATTACAGACTGCATGGAAGGAGACATCACTGCCAGGTCATAAGGGAGCTGGTTACCAAAAAAGTGGTCCTGCCATCTGGATACAGCCTCCCTGTGTGTGGAAGTGTGGCAGGAATGGAAAGGGAGGGCCACAGGGTCCTTTAGGGCCAGGTTCAAGCAATTCACTCAGGAAAACATTCTGAAAACCTCTGTGTGCTTGGATCAGACAAAGAAAACCCGTCCTTGCCTGCTGGTGTAAGAAGCCTTAGACCAGGCAAACCTCAGAGAGTGTGGTCCCGCCAGGAACAGAGGTTTGGCGCCACTGAGGCTCTCTGAACAAAAGCCTGGGGGAGATCTCCTGGCTCAGTAGCAGCCAGGGTTCCAGGTTGGAGAGCCTCCCCAGACTTGCCCTGCCCAGGGTTGCTCAGCCTATCCCACTATTTACCTCTTGTTCTTCCCTCCCTCCCAGCATGATACTCCCTGCACGATGCGGGTAGGATGGACCAGGCACTGGCCTTACCTCTGGAGCCCTGGCCTCTGGAAACTCTGGCCTCTGTTTACAACCAGAGGAAGGTTGTAAATAATGAGCGTCTCCCTCTGGTGAAGGGAAGTTTGGGCATGGACTTTTTTTGCCCCGACTTCTTTCTCCTTAGGTTTTTGGGTGCCAGCCTGAGGAGACAGGTTATGAGTCCTGTCGCTAGTGACTGGCTCATAGCTATAGCTCCAGAACACGTAAGAGAAATTCACCATCTGGTTTCCCAGACAGAGCTAGAAAAGGTCTAGAAAGAAAGCTCAGGTGCTGGAGCTAGGAGAGGTGAGCCTGAGGAGGTGGGACCACCGAGAGTGAGGCCGAGGGATTGAAGAGCCGCTGAAGGGTAGTCTGAGCGGATGGGGGCAGCGGCTGGTAAACTCGAAGAGGGTGGGGGACCGAGCCGACGCACGCGCACTTGGAACCTGGCACCTAGGTGATTGGTGGGACCCACTAACCTGTGGATTCGTTTTTCGGTTTCATGTCGGATGTCGGGTGGCGGGTGGCGAGGAGTGGAAACTAGTCTTCGAGGACTGTTTGCTTTACCTCTGCAGGTAGCCAGTGGCATGCACCTTCTCCCGGTCCTCGTGTCCAGGGCTGGGAGAGTGAGGGAATTAAGAACAGCACCGCGCCCAGGAGACCTTGACCCCGCGCTGCGGCTTGCGGGTGGGCTGCGGGGACGTCTCCAGCCGGGGGTAGGTGGAGGGCGTGGGGGGGTGGTTTTCGATGATCCCGGAAGTAACCAGAGAAAAGTGGCTCGCGCTCTCTTTGAGTGGAGTTTAGGGGCGTATGTAGCCTGGGTTAGCCGAGAAGGTGAAATGAGAATTTTTCCGACTGCACAGTTGCGGTGAGCAGAGGCTCAGCGGGACCGGCTGCGCAGTGGGTTAGGCAGGGCGCGCGTCAGGGCGGGCAGCCGGGGAGCGCAGAGCGACCGTTCCAGCCTCTGCTAAGCTGTGGAGGGAGCAGGCTTGCAGGCTTCGCGCGAAACACGTGCAGTGTCTTCTTTCACTGTTCAGCTTCTGCAGGTTTTTTTTTTTTAATAACCAAATACATGTTTAACCCTCTTGTTATAGATTTTAAAAGTTTAGTGGGCTCCACCCTACTTCCTTGCGCACACCACGAGGATTCTGTTCTAAGCACACAGTACTCCGCCCACCCCGCCCCAGTATCTGAGTTGAAAAGGAACCTGGGGTCCGGTTTCCCAAATTCAATCCCTGCCCACAAGAGCTGGTCACTTCTCTTGTCTTAGTGAATACTCCGCTCTTCCTAAAGTCTTCCCCTCGGATCCCTGAGGAAGCCTAAGTGCACCTAGCCAGCCTTCAGGTTGAGGTGGACTAAAGCCCAGGCAGATGTCTTGGCCTTCCTAGGTCATCTCTAGACAAAAGTTTGGTCCTCTCTGGACTCTTGCAGCTGAAGAGAGGGATACCAAAAAAAAAAAAACAAAACAAAACAAAAAAAAAACAAACGGTTGTTTCAGTGGGGGTGTGACTTGAGAAGCTGAAAGAAGGGAAAAAGACATGAGGCCAAATCTCAGCCTCCAGAAGCTCAGCCAAGTGGTCTGTGGCTTCCCAAGTTTGGGGAAGAGGCTGATAGTGAGTCTGGGGCAGGAGCTACTCCTGCTCCTTCAGCAGACTGCTAGGGAAAAGGAAGAGGAGAAACTGGATTTGTTTGGAAAATCTGTGCCCCATGAGGCATGGGATAGACCGTGTGACACGAAAGGGAACTTAACTGATGGCATCCAGTGGCACCTACCTATGGGCCTTTAACTCTGACAGCTTTGTCACCGAACCAAGGGCATCACCTGCAGAAGGCACAGTGCCCAGGTTAGCATCCCACCATCATTCACTCAGGAAAGAGACTTCAGACAGGTACACTGTTTTGAGGGACTGCTGTCTGTTCTCAATGTCCACTTTCAGGATTGCCTTGTAAGGGTCTGCCTGCCCACACTAGTTAAAGCCAGAAGTACAGAGCCTGAGGCTAGAACAGTGTAAAGAGAAGGGGTGTTCAGTCCAGGATAGCATCTTGCATAGTGTATCAGGGGCATGTGTCCAAGCTATGCACATCCATGTGTGGTGTGACCTCTCTCCCCCACAGTGGCTTCACTGAACTGTACAGGTGACTTTCTGTTTTATAGCTGCCTTGATGTTAAGTATTGTAGTCATGGAATATTTCCAATCCTGAAAAATCGACATGCATTTTATAAGCTTTTCATTATTGAGATAGGAACTCTTAAATGGGTATTCAGTAATGGATAAAGCTGTATCTTAACATCAACCTTGGCTTCTGTGAATTGACCTTATCGGTCAAAATTACAGCCTTTTCATTAAAATGACCAATGAATAATGTATCAGAGTGTAGTTTAAAGCTCCAAATATGCTTTCAGACAGAGATATTACAAGAATGCAAGTCAGGTATATTTCTCAGATAAATGACAGTAGGAGCATTGCATACGCGGACTCGGTTCTCAGGTTTCCTGAAACCCAGCGCGCGCATCATTAATCATTCATTGGGGTCGGTCCTTCAGTCAACTGCAGCTCTGAGTAAGCCGAAGCGAGCCCTTAGCTAATCCTTCCTGCCAAGGGGATCCTGGGGTGAGAGAGGACAACTGGACAGTCAGCCACATGTGCTGGTGCCCAGACCTGCCCCTCATGCCCCGCTCCGAGCGCGGTGTGCGTGTGCGCTCACCCTCGCGGACACAGACCGAAAGCCTCCCATAAGGGAAAACAAATTCGGCCTAATGTTTAGCGCAACCCAGAGTTTCCAATAGGAAAGTGGCTCGAATCGTGGCCTAATGGCTCAAAGTGGCTCTCTAAATGCCGAATAAACCCACTCCTTAGCTGTTTAATAAATCAGAAACAACAACAAACAACAAGAGCCTTCTCCTCCTGCCGCGCCAAAGGCTTCCCAAGTTGGACTGCAAATCCTGGTGTGGTTCCCGGCTGCAAGCACTTTGAAGCGCTGGGAATCTCTCAGCCGGACTTCGTTCCCGAGGGATTCCCGGAGCTTGGGTTGTGCTTGCGGAGTCTGCTGGGCCACGGGAAGGGACCCTGGAAACTGGGTCCTGGGTGGGCAAGAGTGCGTTGCTGGGACGCAGGCGTGTAGCGGCGGTTGGCGAGGACGCGAACTCATTTCCACGTTTAGACCCCCCCATCTCGGCTGCTGTCCCTGGACGACTCAAACGCTCGCGCCGAGCTCAATTCCGTGCAGCGTCGGCTCTTGTGGGAGGGTAGCCGGCTGTGTGGCGCGTGAGAACTGCTGGGGTGCGTGGCCCTGGTCTGCGCGTGCCCAGCGTCGGGGTGCAGCGCCTCTGCTCCCGGCTTCTCCTCCCACTCACTCTCTCCCATCTCCTCCCTCCTCCACACCCCCCGCCCGCGGGACCGCGAGGCTCCCTCCCCGCACCGGCCAGAGAGTACACAAAGCGGCGGGTGAGGGGAAGCTTCGCAGGCGTGCACCAAGCAGTGAGATCACTGGCGTTATAAATATCCCAGTACCCGAGCCGAGATCCGTTCGAGTGGCCTCTCTCTCTCCCTCCCTCTCTTCCCCGAGGCTATGTCCACCCGGTGCGGCGAGGGGGGCAGCGCCAGAGGCACGCAGCCGCGCGGGGGCTACGGAGCCCAGAACCAGCCCTACAAGATGCACTTAGAAACCCCGCGGCTGGAAGAATGAGCTTGTCCTTCCTCCTCCTCCTCTTCCTCAGCCACCTAATCCTCAGCGCCTGGGCTCAAGGGGAGAAGCACCTCGCCCCCAAAGGGCAACCCGGACCCGCTGCCGCCGGTCGGAACCCGGGGGGCGCCAGCAGCAGCCGGAGCAGCAGTGACACGACGTCTTCCTCCTCTTCCTCCGTCTCCTCCTCCCCCGGGGCTTCTCTGGGCAACCACGGAAGCGGCTTGGAGCAGAGCAGTTTCCAGTGGAGCCCCTCGGGGCGCCGGACCGGCAGCCTCTACTGCAGAGTGGGCATCGGTTTCCATCTGCAGATCTACCCGGATGGCAAAGTCAATGGCTCCCATGAAGCCAATATGTTAAGTAAGTTGCTCGCTCTCCTGGCCAAGCGCGTCCTAAGCGGGCAGTGGGGGATTCGGGAAGGACAGCGGTTATTCCCTGGCCCACGGGAGCACCTTCTGGAACCCTGGCCGCTGGGACCCAGCTGGCCCTCGAAACGGCCGGGCGGGTTGGGTGGAGATGCGTCTGTATGGCACGCACACGCGCACCCCTCTCGCGGGTATGAGGAATGGCGATTCCTGAGGTGTAGGCTACCAGAGGCTGGTGCACAAGACAGGTAGACCTTGTTTCCAGTTTGCTGGGGTCCCAAAGAGGAGCCTCCAGCCTGTGCCTGGAGAAAAAACAAAAATCTTCTTTCTGCTCGTTTGGTTTCTGTTTACCTCCTGCTTCTGTTTACGAGGCTACCATTTTTCAAGAGGCATCAAAGTGCATCCCTATTCCTTGCCCATAACTGAACAGTTATTTTAGAAGAATCAAATCTCACATGCCGCCCCTTCAACTGCCACCATAAACCCCAGAGTAATATATATTATACATTTATGTATCTGTGTTTGTGCCTATTGTATATACATATTTGCACATTATATGCATTAGAATATATACGTATATTCTAGGGGAGACCAGACATCCCCTGCTTGGAAGAAGACAGTGATCTGGAAAAGTGGACACGTTTAGAGAAAGATACGTGATGGACATTTGAATGATTAATTTCAGAGTTGGGTTTGCAACGTTTAGTATGTTGAGACCATGATAGCACCTTGTTAGGAAGTGGCCAGCCTTTGGTCACCAAGGACAATTAAGGGAAAGTTCTTTATTTTGGAAGAAACTCAGAGGACGTTCAATTCCTTACAGGTGCACATCGTGTAAGTTTTTTTAAAAGAAAGTTTTACATTTTCTTTCTGAGTTTTCTCTTTAGCTCTCTCTCTTCTCCCAGTCTTGCCACCGCCTCTTTCCCTTCCATCCCCATCTGCGTTTCCAGACCATCGCTAGCGCTCCTCTGATTCCTCTCACTGCCTCTAGGTAGCTGAGGGGAGAGAGGATTTGGGGGTGTGTGCGGAACTGGGGCGATCTCTTTGAGACTCTTCCTCGGTAGGGCCAGATCGCTCATGCAGCAGGGGTTAATCCAACAGACAGACCCACAGCCGGGCCTGTGAGGTATTCAGGAAGAGCGGGAACGTGGCCAGGAGATTGCGCTGCGGACGGTCACCTGGCTGTCGAGTGTCAGTGTACTTAACTTGCTTCGTTTCAAAACCAACAACACCACGGGCCACTGAGCTTCTTACTTACCCAAGCTCCGGAGGGGCGCGGGCGCCACAGCGGGTATGGCAATCTGGCAGCCGCCTCCCAAGCAAGGTTGGAGGTGCGCACGTCGGTGGGGTGGCCGGCTGGCGACGCTCCTCCCGCGGGTTTCAGGAGGCGGGCTGTGGAAGACCTGGCGGTTCGCGCCGGAAGAGGAGCGGTTCCACGCCCGCCCGTGCCTCAGACTCGTCTTGCGAGCTGTGCTGCTCCAGCTGGCCGTGTTACATGTGTTTAGGGGGCCTGGAGCCCTGAACCGGAGAGAGGGCTCTTCGAGTATGCCCTTGCGAGCCCGGGGGCCTCCCACGCGCTCCATGCAGGAGCCTGTTTCTAGGTTTTAAGGTTCATTTCGCCCTCATCCAACAACTCACCTTCTTTGGTGAGAAAGGGCAAGGTGTGTTAGGGTGAAGGGGAATTTTCCGAGATTTCAGTATTGCCATTGGTCCTTCTCATTTCCCCCCACCCAACTCTTTACTCCATCAGATACCAGACAGAGCTCATTCCGCACTTCTAGTGATCTTTCCACCTTTCTTTTACAGGAAAACTTTTTCTGTTCTGTTCTTGTAGTTTATCCAGGAAATCAGCACCAACACAAGGTAACTTCTGTGTTCCCAAGGGAGGATCCAAAGTTAACATGCAACAGGCTGCTGGTTGGATCTCAGGGGGGAGGGTTTGGGTGTACTAGGGATCTCTGAAATACCAGACTCATTCCCTATACATCCACCCTCTTCTCTTGGAAAAAACAAAGATTTTTGCTGCTTAGGCCTTGCCAGAGGGAAGTTCTAGAAAAGCATAGGAAGGAAAATGAGAACAGATCAACAAAGAATACATTCACCAATTGACCAATTGACCAATATCTGCTATTTCCAAGGTAGAGTTTATTTTAAAATCCACTTTGAAAGATACCTAAAAAAGAACAGGGATGTTTACTAAACAGTGCCTAAGTAGCCTAAACAAAACTTCCTTGATTTAACACTTTTCCCAATTCATTCCAGTATAGAATAGCCTTTCAGAGTTTAGTCTGTATCTTTCATATGGCTTGCCTTCATTCACTCATTCACTCATTCATTCATTCATTCATGCACCCATAATAGGCTACCTACATCATCAAGATTGATATTTTGGTTACTTTTGGGAGTTGGGGGAATTTTAGTTTGTTTTTGCCTTCCATAGATTTTTCTCACAGAGGAAACCGTAACTTAAATGTTTAAATCATGGTGATGTTCTTCTTTGTGATGTCTGGAGTGTCTAATACTACTAACTATGATTTTGCCACCACTACTGGATGAAGAATTTATGAAATATGTCATGTTTAGTGGGAAAGCATGTAATTTAAAAATTTAAAATAAGCCTCTGCCCTAAAGAGCTGTGAAAGAGAAACAGAAGCCTGCTAATTGTTGGGTGGTCATACACCTCTTTGAAAGAAGCACTTGACGGTTTCCTGACACGTATGTAAACTAAGGTGTTCGTCATGGGCTGTTGGTTAGAGTACATAAAGAAACATTTGTTGTTTAAGTCTCACAAGAGACACTGAGAGCTGGGACCAGAGAGGACCATAGAGGATACACCAAAGTTTTACCTCATCATCTCATTTTACTGTCTGTAAGTTAGCAATGATAAAAAACTTACATTTCTTTGGTTATAGCATGCTACTTCAGAAAAGAGTCAAAACTTTGCCATCAAACTCCCTTCTAACAGGTTCTTTTAAATTCAGTAATTTTCTGTAATGTTTGTCAGAAGGGATGCGTATATATAAATATATGTCTCACAACTATCATTTGACATTAACATTTCTGCAAACTGAATATTTTCTAGTTTTACCATCCAGAGTGTACTCTGGCCATAGATTTTTGAAACACAATTTACTTAAAGCATACCACTTAATGTGTTCTTAGCTTCACTTATACAGTAGTTATTCCAAGTTTGGAGACAGAAAAAAAAAAAAAAGCTCATTGCAGATACACTCTTATTATGAAGAAATACTAGGGAAGGGTGAAGAAAGATGGGCAAGAAAACCCAGATGATATAATCTAACTGTTGAATAGAAAAAGAAGTTTTGCTTTAGTGTGTACGCTTTCAAGTTTAGCTTCAGTGCTTCTGTTGACTTATGTCGGGCCATTGAAGAATAGGCAGTCAAGTAATTATCAATTCAGGGAGCAAAAGTTGAAGGATGTGGCTGCACAAAGCCAAAGTAGTTCACATAAAATATGAAAATTCCAATCATATATTCTGACCAAACAAAACCCTCAATTTTACTAATTTTTAAAAATCTTAAAATTCACTATCAATTTTCGTTTCATGTAGAGTCAACCATTTAAATAGTCCCCCAAGCCTAGCTAAATCAGAATCTGTATCTACTGAATAGAAAAACTCAAATGGAAGATTTCTGTTACTAATTTAATTACTGAAAACTGCTAAACTGGGTATTTCAAGCCTCGGATTTGATAGTGATGTGTGAACGCAAGTAGAGAAACTTCAGTTTTAAATTATTTTTCTTCGAGGATTTTCAGATGAGCTGTTGAAAGCTTCTGAATACATGGGATATCTGTGTCTATTATGTCATTCACTAAGAAAAGAGAAAAGGGAAAAGTCTACATGATTTTATCAACCATCATTAATAGAGTCCTGTTGTATTAAAAAATCTGGAGAGGACTAAGGTAAAAAAAATCTAGACATATATTCTCTTACTGAAATAAACTTACTTTGTAATGCATGCCTATGCTTGTAAGTAGGTGGATTAAACAATGTGTGTATAAATTCTTGCCTCCTTCAATCTAGATGTCAACCCCCAAATTCCACCAAGAGAAAATAGGTTTTATTCTGTTAAGCACTGCTTTTTTCTTTTGATCCTCTTACATGTTAACACCCTAGGAAAGATAACACATTGTCATCAGCACTCTAATGGGAAATAATTACCCTGCCTGACTCCCCAAGCAGAAGGCCAAAATCGCTGGAGAGTAAACGTGTGTCCATACATGTGTGCACATGGGGTGTCCTGAAAAAGGGAAGCGAGGTAGTGAGAAGGTCAAAGAAAACAATCCAGTTTAACAGACATTTCATTGACTATCTGATCTGTGAGATACACTTGGCCTTCCACAATTTTGCTTAGGGATACCATCTTGGCATCCATAATGTGAATTGTAAATTCTCATAAAATTAATTATTCTTGACTCTACTAAGAGTCAGGAAATAACTGAAATTGAGAAAAATTTAGTTTTATTTTTTTTTGAGAAAAATTTAGTTTTAGAGAAATGTTTTCTGGGATTTATATATGTGTGATTTAATGCATGTGGGTTTAAAATATTATATAGAATTCTTTAGTGCGTTGCTGAGATTTGGCATAGTAAAATCAATAATTGTGCGATCTCTTGGAGGTGAAGTCAGAGAGTTGAATTGTAGAATCTGCTCCAACATTCTAGTAAAAAAGACATTGTGAAATTACTGTTGAATTACGTTGGAAATTATGATCTTAATACCGTTCTCAATATTACATCATAATTACATGAAGATTTAGAAGATCATGCCAAAGTTGCCTATGTGAAAAAATAATTATTTCATCTGATCTCATCTTTATCTTTCCTGCATTCTTCATACTTTTAAATAGAATAATATATGTAATAAAAGTATATTTTTAAGCTTTCAATTAAATAAAATTTTTTAAAAATTATAAAATCCATTTATTCCCAGGCAGTATATCATTTTTACACTGGAACTTGCAAGAAAAGAAACCAAGCAGTATGTAATAAAATAATAACCCTTTACATATATTATTTCATCTTCCCCATGTAATTTGTTATGATGCAAATTTTACATAGCATATATACACAGAATGTACATATAGTGTGTTAGGGAACAAGTGACTCAAAATGGGTTTTTCTAAAAATAGAATACGTTACTTGTCAGAAGCTATAGTTTACATAGGCAAAGCAGTGCTCCCATTAAACAAATATTTCTAGAGACTTTGTCTTGACCTCTCAAATGTTAACCTGTAAACAGATATATTTAATAAGAATTTTATCTTTTAGGCTACCCTGTAATTTTTTCACTAACACACAGGTTTGCATTTACAAAACCAAGTAATCTGCCAAAGAATCGAATAAAAACACTGACAATGTAGAACCATGAGTGAATTGGGGGAAAACACGACTAACTCTCCTTTTCTACCAATCCATACTGTCCCTTTCGATTCTCTCATTCCACACATAGACAATTCCTCATGTTTCTATGTCTCGTTTTTTAACGCATTTACGCAGCATTCACAATTACTTCCCCATCTTCCAAATATCTAAAATCATTAATGCTGTTTTGAATATCATTCTGTAATTGTGATAGAAATATAACTTTGTATCATGTTCTAGTAATGCTTTATTAATAAAATTACCACAGCATATTACCTGGTGTATTGTATCTAACTTTACAAAGCATTCTGCGTGCTTTGTCACTATTCGATAAAATGGTAATGCTTCTAAATCCTTGGGTGTGCATCACAGTCAAATAATTTGTACAGCCAAATCTATTAAAAAGAGCATTTTGAAAACATTCTGAAGAAAATAACTTATGAGACGACAGTTTCTTTAGGAGTTTCTTCCTAAAAGCAAAAGTAGTTCCTTTCAAATAGTTTTTTGTTTTGTTTTCAAGAAACATCCACTAATAAAGTGGTAGTGACAGTTTCCTGGAGATGTGTTTTATTTACTCTGGACTAAATATGCTTATAACAAAGACAATAGTTCTTCGGCTACCCCTTCCCCCCCCCATGAACTTTCTGCTCAAGTGTTTTTAAGAAATCAAGTTGAATAAATAAGCAGCAGTATTTGCTACAATTATAGGTATTAACTCACATTGTGCAAAAAAGTGCTTAATATATTCATATAGATATGTATTTGTATTTATCATATATATGTATCCACAGTATTGTCTTTTTGGTAAATTGAATAATTTTACATGTACTTCAAATACTGCAAGGGGAGGTTACAATTTTTTTTTAAATTTCTGGTGAATTACTCTGTTCAGCAGAATACGGTTGAGATATCCTAATTAGTATGTATAGTCAGAATAATATAGATTGAAAGGTTGAGATTTTCTTTCCTTCTCCCATCCTTTCTTCTTTCCTTCCTTTCTTTCTAGACTAGGTCCTGTTTTAGCTCTAGTGAAATATATTATTTTGTCCTCCCCCACCTATTTTTTGGCAATTTGATGTAGGCGATTAACAGAAAGTACTGTGCTTTTCTCATGTTCATATAACATTATATATGAATTTATGATAAACAGGCAGGAATTCCAATTATATACAGACTATGAATTTCGTCTTCTTAAATACTCTTATGAACTGTGGTATGTGATTCTCTTAACGCAGTTGATGTGGACTTTCAAATTATTATAGGAGACAGAGGGGCATTGACTTGATAAGGCTGACTATGAAATACTAAATACAAACAGTAATGTAATAAAATACCTCATTAAATTTTTTTCCAGAAAAGCCATTTAAAATGCAAGATGTCTCAAACCATAATGCATTAAGCACTCATTGAGCCAATAATCCCAAATTATTTATAATGCTTTCAACATCTTTTTATGTGTAGTCTTTAAATGAACTACTCACTGAATGATTGAATATGGTATATATTGATTTGTCCTTGTCTAGTTATTATAATTTGAGAAGAGGGATTTATTTCATGTAAATAAGTAGAATTTATCTCTGGCTTTCAGTGGTTTATACTAGTCTTGGGCCAGACTTTACGAGATTTAACATTAAAAGCAGTGCATTACCTCGGATAGAAAACAATGGCTGAGAATTATTTTGAAAAACGTTTAAAGAAACTCTTTTCAATCCCTTTACAACTTGAGAAGATTCTATTGTGAAACATTGCTTACGAAAAGGGACTTATTTGTAAGGAAAAAAAAGAATTACGAATGAGCCAGAAATAAATTTTTGAATCTTACAATTTGTTCTTTGAAGTGAACACTTGCATGCCAGGCTTCTCTTTTTCTAACATGATGAATGCCATGAAAAATAAGGATGTTAAGTACCATTCTTTTTTTTTTTTTTTTAATCACAGCTACGAAGAATGAAAAGAATCTGTGTAGAAATTTAATTCTTCACGATGATATGTGGAAGAGTCTGTGTTTTATTTTGGGATTTCTGTCATCCTAGGTGTTTTGGAAATATTTGCTGTGTCTCAGGGGATTGTAGGAATTCGAGGAGTTTTCAGCAACAAATTTTTAGCGATGTCAAAAAAAGGAAAACTCCATGCAAGTGTAAGTAGACTCACTTTATATTCGTTAAAGGTCTTATGGAGATTTTACATTTGTAGAATGGAGTGAAGTGATTTTCCACGTTGGTAGATGAAAAATTTGCTCAAAGGATGTAACTTTGTTAAATTGTATGTACTTCTAACCAAGATGTCTTTGTAAGTAATCATTTTCACATTCAATTTACTTGAAAAGATAATATAGAATCCACAAAAAATGTTTAAGGATGAACGTATTTGAAAGTCGCGCTCTCAAAGTGATCGCCCTTATCTATTTCTTAAAATTGGTTCAACTAAGGGAAATTATGGAAACGATAATGCTACATAACAGTTAAAATGCACATGTTTATGGGGATTGTGTGTGCATATTTAGTAGATCAAGTTCTTATTCAGTTCTACAAGCCATGCGTGACGTCAAAAATTAGGTCTAAGTAATACAACATATTTTCACATCAATAAGTACAGGGAGAAACCAATAATGAGAAGATTTTGACCTTCCCGAGAGAAATTTAATTTATCCATTTGAGGACTCTCATTTTGTATTTTTGTGGCATCAAAAACAATACTTCTTAAAATTACAAAGACTAATTTTGCACTCAAAAATTTCTTCAAGCCACTTTTATAATCAATTTACAAATTATAGATTTCTGTGTTTTTTCTGAAAGTGCTCACTACTTGGGAAGCATTAAAACATTTTAAAGATAATAAGATATGTCTAGGTTGGTTTTTCCACTCACAGATTTGATTTACTTATATTAGTACATATGCACAGCACTTAAAAGTGATTTATGTTTTTTCTGCAGTGTACTAAGATTTGTCACGTTATATCATTTTTACAAAGCAATTATTATATAACATTAGTCCTTTACTTTGTATTCTTTTTAATTTTTACTAAATGAATTGGAGAAATATCACTTTTCTGGTTTTTGAAGTATATAGGAAATTTTAACTAAGAGTGTAATCAATTGAAGCTTACTATTTATGATGTTTACTTACAGTTCTTTAAAAAATTCATTGAGAGTTTCACTTGTTTCAATGTGTAAGAATTTCAATTTTCCTTTTTCTAAAAGTGACTTGTTAATACCTCTTGGAGGGGGTAGCAGAATTCAAGCTATCTCTACAGTTACTTGAGGATTAAATGAGATAATACATTTAAAACTTTTAAAAACAGTACTTGGTACATTGTAGGTGCTCAATAAATACTGTCTATTATTATACAGTAATCCAAATATAATAGAAATCTCAGTGGATTGAGATAAATGAAAAACCTTTGCTAACCTCTTTAATCACCGATTACAAGAATTATGAAAAGATTTACCTACTTCATCTTCTGAGTTGGTTATTGTAATCTAGCAAGCTATAATATAGTTTTCATAAAGTAATCTCTCTTTGATTATTTATTTTAAGGGGTAAAGTTCTGCATCACTGTGCACAAGTAGGACATGCCATTTTTTTAAATTTTATTTTATTATGTTACATTAGTCACCATACAATACATCATTAGTTTTTGATGTGGTGATCCGCGATTCATTGTTTGCGTATAACACCCAGTGCTCCATGCAGTACGTGCCCTCCTTAATACCCATCACCGGGCTAACCCATCCGATCCCCACCCCCCTTCCCCTCTGAAACCCTGTTTCCTTCCCAGAGTCCGTAGTCTCTCATGGACATGCCATTTAATCAAAAAAATAATATTTGATTTTTAAAAATCCACATGCAGAATAGAAGACAATGATCAAACACAGCTGAACACAATAGCTTTTCCCCAGTCTACTTTAAGGTTGTAAAAAATTGAAACACTTTCAGAATCTAAGCATCATAATAAAGTGCAGTGCATGTAAAGAAACTTTCTCTTATTGGTTTGTTTTGGGTGAGCACCTTAACTTTTAAATTGTTCTGATTTGTGCTCTTGTACATGCAAAAAATAGACTAAACTTGGACCAGCTTAAGGATAATTGCCACAGAACTCAGACTATTACAAATGGATGCCAATTAGAAAGGTCATACCGAGAGGTGAGGATACATGATTCCCCTGTCAAACACAAGTAACAAATTTCCAGAAATTTGACCCAAATGTCTAAGGATGGCTGGCTGAAATAATGCAGATAATGCAAAAACAGCATCTGTTATTCTTTCTCATCTTGGCAGGCTAAAGTTATTTCATGGAATAATGACTTTTAAACAGTACAAAGCAAGTCTTGCTCTTGTCACTCACTGAAGCTCTTTGATATAAAAGTCATTCTAATGACTTTGAGCTGAATTGTAGATAAAAAATTAAGCCCTACGATTATGTGGATTCTTTTTAAACCAATTGTCCAATCCCACTTTCTCTTATCTGAGCTTTTATTAGCACTTTTTCTCTAGATGGAAACCTAATTAAATTATAAAGTGATTTATTTTTACGGAAGTTGAATTTAGAAATAGTATTAATCCTAGCAATTATCAGTTTTATGCCCAGATGGTTTCTTTCTTGTTTTCTTCTAGTTAAACACATTGAAAATTGTTCTTGTAACTTTAGATATAATTATTTGATTTAGTTTTGATTTTCACAAAATTGCATTGTCACTAGGAAGGCTAAAAAACCTTTATATTTTTAGGATTAAATGTGTAATTCATGAGCTGCTTTAAATTAATAACTGTGCAGAGACATTTAAAGAGTACTTTATAATCATTTTGCTATATATATATGTGTATATGTATAAATCGTGTTGTACATCTTAAACTTACACAATGTTATATGTCAATTATATCTCAACAAAACTGGTAAAAATTTTAAATTAATAGAGTACTTTCAGGTTTTATCTATAAAGTAAATATGAACCAAAAATGTATAGCATTCATATAATTCTGGAGAAAGTAATGCCCATACTGTACTGAGAAACATTCACGGATAATTGTAGATTTTCAACTTAGTTTTTACAGTAACAATTAGAATATTAAAAATTAGTTGCTAGGCACAGACAATGTATTTGCATAGTTGTTTAAAACTCTTTTACTCACATTATGTCATTACATGATTAGGTGAGGACAGAGTCTTAGCAATGTTAAATCATTTCCTAAGTTAACGCAGTAACAAGTGAGTGAACCAGAACCATCCTTTTAAAATTTTCTTTCTCTGTAAATGCTGTAATGCTTTGTAGGTAAAAGCTAGTTGAAAGAAGATACTAAGTTTTGTTTGGAACCAATTACATTGTTTTCACCTATTGTTTTCTAGGAATTAATAATCACAGAGTTTAATAGTATTTTCATATTACATGGTAAAGAATAAATATTGTGGTGCATCCTTACAATATTTTGCTTGTGCTGTGCACCCCCTTACCCAAGCTCTGTTTGGACTCTTTTTTCCCCCATCTATTTCTGTGTCTCTAGTATTTGACTTTAAAGTCCAGAGAAGCAGAGGGGATGTGTTCGCCTCAGAACTTATCACAGAGTTTTACATAGGTTGGTCATTTAATGTGATGATGTGTTGCATAGGGAATGCCTCTCAGGATGAAATTTCAAAGCAGAAGAGACCTCTGTTTTGTTCACTGAAATTTTTCATTTAGAAAATGCTTCACTATCAGCAGACACAAAGATGGCAGACAAAAAAGAGCCGAGAACGGGTTACACTTAGGCAACATTTGTGCTGATGTTTTTCTTGTGCTAAGTTTGTTAATTCGGTAAGAGAAATTTTGTTTGAACTTCAATCATCTCTGTGGGCACTTCTTCCTGCACTCATTCAACCTACACACTCGTCGCAACCTACATGCAGCTCTCCTTAAAATCTTTACTAGTATACTCCAAATACACAGTGCAGCCAGATTCCTACCATGCAGGTTTTTTCAGCATTATTTACAAGGATGAAGGTGTCTGGTCTTCTCCTTCTCAAGATGTGCTAGGAATCATTGAGAGTGGGAGTAGATGTCTGCCTCCCCAAGAGCCGTGAGGGTTAGTCAGAGCTTTCGCTGTGACCTCCACTCTCCTTCTCAGCTCATTCTAGGCTGAGGTACTTGTGGAAATGAGCTCGCTTCTCTTTCTGTCTCTGTCTCTCTGCCTGCTTGTCTGCTCCTGTTCCTTCCTCACTCTGTTCCTGCTCTCTCCTCAGGTTTATTATCTCTATCAAAATCCCCATAGAGAGCCATTCTAGATTTATCTGAGGTGGGTCCAGATGTAGGACCAGTTAGATTGTGTCATTCTAGTTAAATTAAACCTAGTCATTTTACCTAATCTTTCTCTTCCGTGGTTTTATCAGCTGTAAAAGGAGGAAAACTAAACTAACAATCTATTGTGATAGTTAAGCAGTTTAAATGAGATAATACATATAAAAGACTTAGAATAGTGCCTGGAAAGTATTCAGCATTTAAAGATTTTTTTAAAAAATTTATTTATTTGAGAGAGAGCATGAGCACACAAGCAGTGGGGAGGAGGGAGAAGCAGACTTTATGCAGAGCAGGGAGCCCGATGCAGGACTCGATCCCGGGACCCTGGGATCATGACCTGAGCCAAAGGCAGACACTTAACCAACTAAGCCACCCAGGCGCCCAGTGTTCAGTATTTAATTTAAAAATGATCTTCCTTAATTTGCTCTGAGGCAGCTGTATGATGATCCTGTCTCCTTTCTCAGAAAAGACTTTCTGCTTTGGGGGTCAGGCAGCTGTGACCCCTCAGATATTTAGACCAGCGCCCAATCCTATTTATCATTGACCTTTTTTTCTTTAGGTCCAAACTTTTTTGTGTCCACAGTAGCCCCTTATCTCCAGAGTTTTCAAAGAACCTAATTTGGGAAAGCAAAATTCTCAGGCTCAAGCTCTTAAGAGACAAGGATTTCTTACGATCATAATCTCATAATTCTTTTAGAGCCCTGTTGCATCTTGTTTTTTCCCTAAAGAAAATGGAAATCCTGGAAAAGATGGTTATCATGTTTTTTTCGGCCTTTTCATAAAGTATGCATGATAGCGCATTGCTTATTGGGGAAAAAACATTTTAGCTTGTTTTAAAGGTCCAGAGAGAAACATGTGGTAGAATTAT